AATATATACTAAACGCTTAACGATTAAACAGATTTGTTAAGAACACGGGTATGAAAGTATTTTTTCGACACATTGATCCTGAGCTCTCCTTTCGTATTCGGGTGTCTTTTTGATCACTCTCTATAAAAGATCAATGGCTTCCCATTCATCTCCTCATACCCGCAGGCCCTTTATTGACTCTAATATACTTATCCTGCATGTTCGTCACCCTCTGAGCTCAGCGTCCGCAAGTACTGACACAGCTAAGTAACGGTCAAGGGTAAGACTAATACATTACTACTTATTGGTCCTGCAACAGATTCCCTGCTCTGCGCCGCCTCTTCCCATTTACTAATTACGTATTTGTCATATGGTGACCCCCACCAAATGGACCTCAGCATACTGATCAGTTTAATGCTTAGATATAGAAAGAAAGCCTTAAAAAGCCTGAAAAGCAAATGTATATGTTGAAAGGCGGCTGCATTTAGCATTGTTGATAAACCCCAATACGGTCCATCTGGCTTTTAAAGATGAAAACAAAGTGTAAGGGTTTTTACTGACTCAAAATGAGGTAATGAGTGACAAAAAATCTTTATTCATCCTGAAACATTGATTAGAAATGTGGCGTTTCCTTTGGTCACAGTTTGAAAGTGTAACTTTAGAAGCTTGTAGGTGATTTGGTGTATAGTCACGTGATTTATCAAGTGAAGGAGTCGGTCAGGAGAGCTGAATAAAAGTTTTCTGACTCTAATTTTTTAATATTCTGCCAATAAACTAATAATAACAAGGGAATTATGAATATTAAAAGATCAAAAGTGTATAATTGGTCACAAACTAAATCCACCAGTTCCTTATTTGCAGCCTCTTGATACCAAACATTTCTCCCTGGTCCCGAGATGCAAACATTTGTTTTGTCTGCTTGTTTGCCACTTGTATAAACTTCCTTTGCTTTTATAGATGTGGGAATTGTGCTTAAACCACAGACATGGTGAGCATATTTAAAGAACAGATGTTATCCCTGCTTCTGAGGGGAAAGATGATTATCTTTTTATAAAGTGGGCGAGTTCCTGGAAATGCACGTAGGCCAAACAAAGCCTCCACCTTACACTTAGACGCAGGTTTTTCCTGTGGGAAAAAAAACAAATCTTCCTCAAGTGTAAGGTGTGTGAGGAAGCATTGCTTTTTTTATACATATATATGTATATATATCCTCCCCAAAAAATAAGAAACTCAAACACATCGCGCGTACCATTTGGGAACATCAGTATTTATAAAATACCACCTTTCCTTCTTTTGCTTCCTATAAACACAGGAAATGGAAAGGAAACAAGGAGAGTGTTCTGAAGAGTGTCCATCATGTTCTGCTGTTAGCCAGAGAGCATTAGGTAACAAGATGAGCTATCATTTCCCACTCGCTGCTCTTATTTTAGACTATACTGAGTCAGAAAGTCAGGGAAATAAACGCAGGGCGCAGAAAAACACTGAAATGGGCCCAAATGGTGGTTTGGGCCTGGTGTTATTGCAATATTAGGGGTTAAACAGTTTGTGGAAAAGTATTTGCCCTCTTTACAGATGTCTGCAGTTTTTGCTTTTTCATCACACTTGAACGTGTCAGTTCATAAAAAAAAAAAAAAAAAAAAAAAAAAACGCTATCCAAGCTAACCTGGCCTTATGTGAAAAAAAATAATGGCTAACTTTTGGTAAGTCAGCTTTGGGTTCAGCTTAAAAACCTGGAACAGGAGTGAATCTTCCTGACCAGCCTACCAAATTACCCAGAGCTCGTAGCACAACATCTAAAGCACTGTGGACCCGAGTTAAGGTCGGTGTTTATGTTTTAACAAGAATCAAAAATGGCGTCCATTAGAGAGATCAAAGTTGAAAAACATTTGTAAATAAACCACGATATTCACCAAGACTTTTGGTTGAATATTTTGTGGACTGCAGACACTAAAGTGGAACTTTTGACAAGTATTATCTGACTTAAAAAAAAAAAAAAGAACATCTCACTGACGTAGAAACATTGTGGTAGTGTTAAGTGTCTTGGGTCGTCTTATTGTTTCAGCTTTTGGACCCTTGATGGAACCTTGAATTATACAATCAAGCAAAAAGTCCTGAAGAATGTTTGTGACCATTGAACTCAAGAAAATATGGGTTTCCTGTAGGACAATGGTCCAAATCAGAACAGCAAGTCCAGCTTTTAATGCCTTAAAAGGGCAAAAGAATCGAGGTTTTGGAGCGGTCTGGTTTTAAATCCACCATGTCTTAAATAGTCGCCTCATTCACTGAGACTGAATTTCTACGAAGAAGAAGAGGTCAAGATTTCTACACAAGAGATGTTACTTTTTGTCATTGGTTTCCTCATTAATTGAAATCATTTGAATGAAATTGCAAAAGCAGAAAATCTGAAAGGGGGCAGATACTTTTCTAAAAGTCCTTTGAATATGATATTGATGTGCAAAGTGTAGTTTTTAATTAATCCCTAGCAAAACAAGATGTGATTGATATTAAATTTTGCACAACGGTACCGATGATAATGGTTTATCCCGAACCTTGCGACTAAAAATATCAAATTATTTGTCTGCCAAACTGAATAAAATCCACTATTGGGTAAAACTCTTCCTACAGTCCTTGGTTCACGACGGTTGAACTGAAGCGTCACGGCCGCTGAGGTCCTCTGTGTTTCAGGAGATCCTGCTGCTATTATTAGCCATTGTTAGCTTTTTGTCCTACAACTTCAAATCGGCTCGTGTTTCTTTGGTGTCCAGTCTTTGTGTTTCACTCTGTCTGGCGCTCAGACTCAATGTGACGATATCAGGTGGACGGCTCAATCAGTTATAGTGCCAATAGGATGGTGTACCAGTAGTGTGTGTGTGTGTGTGTGTGTGTGTGTGTGTGTGTGTTTGCTTGCATTTGCATGATAACGCAGGCCTCACCCTGCCCCCCACATGGCTCTTGTCTGTCTTGTCTGGGACATAAAGAGAAGCAGGAGAAAGCAGGGTTTGTTTTTTCAGGCTGGGGTGATACAACCAGCCTGAAAAAAAAAAATCCAGTATTTTTCCTGTGCCTCCATGTTTGCAAAGTTGTTTAACTGGAAACTCTGGGATGATTTATGTAGTCTGTGTCAGGACAAAGAGCTGACTCGGGATTCTTTGGTATGGTTGCAGGGTCTAATCAGATTTGATGAATTTCTCTCTTTCTCTTGCTCTCTCTCTCTCTCTGCGACTCTTATCTCCCAGCTCTGGACTGAAATGACTCACGCAAAATGTTTGCAGCTCTCACCCCATCGACACTGGAATCATTACGTATTATTTGGTGGTTAGATTTACTCTCACTTTGTGACTTGCTTAGTTTTCTCTCTGAAGATTTAAGTGGGGTTTTTTTTCAGTCTCAATAAATCTAAACATTCGAACTGCTCTAATTTACGTCATGAACTTAAATAAACCCCCTCGTAGCACAGTTATAATGATCGTTTTGCAGATTATCTCGCCACGGTCTGGTAGTCATGTGCTTCCTCTTTCCAAAGCAAAGCGCCTTGTCGTTACGTTTGAACTGAAATATTGCTGTCATTGAACCAGGCTATCTTAGGGCACGGTTTCAAACATGTGACAGCTTTGGTCTTGCTTTACTTCCTCAGAAGCAGAAGAACCATCTGAAGCTGCTCTTATGGCTCTGCTGATGTTTAAGTTTTAAATAAAGACTGTAAAATGTCAGCTTCTAGGAAAAGTATGCACAGAATATGTTTAGATTTCATTATGTTACAACAAAATTGCTGTGCAATTAGAGATGCAAACATGCATAGGAACATGGCTGCATTTTGTCTCGGCTCGTTGGAGCAGGGATGCATCTGAAAGTTTCAGGACAAGATAGTGGTGTGAAATAACACAACATTAAAAATACTTGAGGGGTGTGAACACTCTTGAAAGGCTCTGCAGTCGTCATTGTTTCTGTTTCTTGGAGTTGTTTTTGTGCCCATAGCAAACCAGAGAAGTTGACCTGCTCCCATTCTGGACTTCATCTGGATTTTACAACATCCACCTGCACAACAGTTTAGACGTTAAAAGTCATTTCTCTCCAGCTGAAGCTGTGATCTGGTTGTCTCAGCAGACCCATAGTCTCTCTGGGCACCTGATCTTTGCCACATCATTATCTGACGGCTATATTTGGATGCTTCGCCGTCTATTTTCAGCTCGCTCTCCGAGAGCCCACGTCAGTCACGCTGCTTTCTTCTCCCTTACGGAAAAAGAAAGGAAAAGAATTGAAATCTGCTGCTGGTAAATATAGACACAGTGATAAAAGGTGCTTCAACTCCAAAAAGGTACTGATTAGATAATCTTTTTGCAGAGATGATTGGACTGTCAAACCAAAGGAAAAAATGTCTTTAGAAATACTTTGTGAACAAATGTCAGTCTGGTGAGCTGCACATTGTCTTTTAGCTCAGATATAAACTACCTGCACAGCTGATGAAAAGCAACTGGAGGTTTTAGGCTGTGAAACCTGCCTGAGGCGCAACAGTAACAGCTGACGTTTGTTTGCATCAACGTGGTGACGGAGATCTAAAGAAGGCCGAGGCGTGTTGGGACAGGCGCTGAATGCTGCTCGTCCACATGGAGAGCGTCACCGACGGCGCCTAATCCGGTGCTGCGCTGCACAATGCTCACTTCACTCTGGTTATCTTCAGGATTCCTCCTTAGTCTGGACAAATATGGAAAAGCACAGAATACCGTTTCACTATTTTCCAGGTCGGGGAAAGTATGGAATCAAATAAGAAGGGAGGAGAAATGTTTGCATTTCCAGCCAGACTTGTCCTTCTTTCTTTGCGTCCTGCTTCCTGCCCTGTGTCCTTCCTTTCCTCTCTCCATCCCTTGTATCCTTCCATCCTTACAAGTTTTTTTGGTTTTTGAAGCCTGTCAGCCTACAAATATCGCCATAAAATTCAAAGTTGGCATTTCATACTTGACAGTAAAGTTGATTCTGGAAAAGTCTGGATTTCTTTTTAAACTCCGTGTCTTTGTCTGCCGCAGGAGTGTCTTCGCGCGTCCCGGAGATCATGGCGGCCGGCACCCACTCCCCTGGAGGGCCCAATGGGATCATACGGAGCCAGTCGTTCGCTGGATTCAGCACGTTGCAGGAGCGGCGCTCTCGGTAAGTAAACACCCACGAAAACCCACCATATGAGCATTTAAAATAAAAAATAAAAAATTGAAATAAACTAATATGCATGTATGTCAGGGGTTAGCTAGTTTAGATACATTTGCAGTGTTAGATTTACATCCATTTAATTGTATTTCTTTTTTTTTTTTTTTCTCAAAAAAAATTCCTTTTTGGACACAAACCTAATTTAAATAGGTTCTTATTATTTTAATCTGCCTTTGAGCATTAGCCTCTTCTTTACTAAACTCTATATTAGATAGAACAGGGAATGATAATGCATTCAGATTTTAAATATATGACAATTAAACTATTTTAACCTTAAGATAGAAATATTGTCACCAAGTCATTTCTGATTGCAGTTTTGAACACGTTAAAACTAATAGAAAAATACATATGCTGTGTAGTTCTACGTTACTCTGGAGGTTGCCGTCTAAAATTTTGTTGATGTTATTTTTGCCCATTATGTTTAAAAGGTAATTACGTGTTTGGTCAACTTTAGCTGTTTTAAATATGCATGCAAACATAAATATAGCCAAGATAATCATGGACAGCAGAGAAAACCTTATTTTTTAGCACGACTGATGATGATTATTGCTACTTTACCAAAGTGTAAGATTTTATTAATTGTTAATTAAAAAGATTAGAACAAGAAATGCTATAAGTGAATGTTTAAAATGATTTTTGGAGTCGCAAGGTTTTCCTGCATGCTGCATTTTTTAAATATTGTGTGTATTGCGAGGAAAACTCCTCCTGGCTTTACTACTAATATCAATAATTCTAACTGTCTTACAAACAACTTAAAGTGCTGTTTTTCAAGGATGTACTTCCTGGACTACTAATTACTGGTTTATCCCAGCCAAACCTGACGTACTGCTCCCACTCATGGTATTTTCAGCTGGCTGCGTGTTTCTTAAGCCTTGTAACGTGTGCAGATGCAAAAAGGGGGTAAATCTAAGGGCACAAGTCTGTTTGCAATTCTGTGTCTACGTGCATCACCAAGGCTCATTAGAGGAGAAGAATAGCGCTCAAGAATAGCATCAAACCTGCCAAGGGAGACGGCTGCCACAGTGGGAGAAGACGAGAAGTGTCAGTAATCTGTATAAAACAGTCATTTCGCTGCGCTGACATCACTTCTGAATGATCGCTGCGTTGAGAAGTCGCAGAGCTGCTTCTGTCATTAATGCTTCTCAAATGGGGAAATATTATTACTTTGCGTTTGTGATCCTGATTTAAATGCAAAGACAATTCAAGCTGCTACTTCACAGAAGTGGACATTAAGGCCAAGTTAATATGCTGTTTTTATTTTTTGTAGCTTGGAAACAGATGTTCGGAGACGTTAAGAGGGGCTTTTGCTGCAGTCAGTTTTGTGTGTTAAAGGCTTTTAGAGTTTTGCAGCACTGACCCTGACGGATCACCGACTGTCTGGACAGCGTGGATCATGGTGGAAAAACAAACACGACAGACTTTCACTGATGCTTCTCTTCAGCCTGAAGCTGGAAGTTTAATCAATGGTCACATGTTCATCCTAAAACATTTCCTGTAAACAGAGCTAACGAGATGAGATAATTAAAAAAAAGGAAGAAAACCACACCTCAGGAAGATGCTTCTCTAAAAATGATGCTTATTTCAGAATATGTCTCTCAAACTAAACTGCTCTCATGTTGTCACCTTCCTAAAATAATGGTTTAAAAATATTTCCACAAAGTGATTCTTTTTCTTAAATCATTTTCTGGAAAAAAAAATAGGTTGTGACTTTGGTTTTTTTTTTTTGTTGTTGTTTTTTGGCAAAATTTACTTTCGGGGAAAAAAAATGACATTGTCATTATTTTAGGAAGGTGATGATATATTAACTACAGTTTTACAGGAAACTATTTAAGTTTCCTGAAATTAGGCTCAAAATGTCCCGGAGCTTTTTATTTGTTCTGGAAAAGTTTAAAAGGTCGGATAATTACAGTGAAGGACTTAAAAAAAAAAAAAAAAAAAAGGGGTATTTAAAAAAATTTTACGCCCCCTATCCAGTTGCATTAAAGTTGTATTTGTACATCCTTCCTTCCAAATATGAGACTGGAAAAGTCTCATTTTTGTTCGTTCCTGACATCTTTGCAAAACATTCAAGCGACCCACAGGGTTGCTACAGTTATCACATCAATAGGCTTTTAAGGATGATGTTTTTGACTCCTCCTTCTAGAGATAAAGCACATTCACACTTCCATCCCGGATTTCTCTTTAACAATCTTCTTTTTCGGTGCTTACTTGTCTTCAGCTGTCCTGGTCCTGCTGAGAGAACCCATTTAGAAATGCCCCTGCTCTCTTTTCTCTCTGATCAGACAGTGAATGGTATGGTATTTGTTGGAATGACTCAAGTGTGTGGGCGACTTGCAGCGACAGACGAGTTACACTCTGATAACGAGGGACGTGGAAGGCTGCAGAGATACGGCCTCTGATGCCGCTGCAGCGCGTCACAGTCTGTACGAGTGGCTCTGTTGCTGCTAACGGACTTCTCATGCGTGATACGTGATCACGCTTTGCAGGCATTCATGCATGCTTGCATCCTACAGACGTTGCACTTTTTGTGCAGGGGCGCAAAATCAAATGTATTAGTTGGCATAGAAATTGTGGCATGTGTGCATATGCGTGCTCCTGAGCGTGTCTCCGTCAAGAAGCATTTTTGCACTGCAGCTCATCTGACCCCAAGGCTAAACAGCAGTTTGATTCAGTGTTGCCCTACATTTGTGGCAGCGCCATGTGAACTTCCACTCGCACGTTTCAACTCGTCCGGCTCTGGAATCGGTTGCTTTCGTGTCCCTAAGACGATCGTTTGGTCGAAGGAAAGAATGCAGCTTGCTAAATCTGAGATGCTTTTAAAAACCACGAATGGGGCAAAAATGAGAGTGACGTAAAAAGAATTGTTGGGAGAACAAAAAAAAAAGTGTGGCAGCTCTTTGGTCTCTAAACACGCGCTCCTTATTAACGCAAAAATAATTTGGGGTAAAAGGAGATTGAGTTCAGTCTGCAGTGTTTTTTTTTTGTTATATGAACTTTTGGAACTAACTAATAAAAAACATCAAACAAAACTGTGGATTGACGTTTCCACTTTATTAAATAACAGAATTGTTTGACTGTTTTGTTATTATTATTATTTTAAATGAACCTGAATTGGCTACTTTTAAAACCGGCGCGATGGATTAAATCACAAGATTTGCTAAAAAAACAAAATGACACAAAAGATGGAAGGATGTGGAACTTTCTTTAATTTGAAATACTTGATTATCACGTTGCATTGAACAATGGGCGTTGCTCAAGTGGGAACAAGGCTGAGCTGCAAGTGGGTCAATTTTATTACAGCAGATGAAGATACAGAAGATGCGTGGAGAAATGCCTGCTGTTTAGTGTGGCAGGAGATTTGTAATGCTGTGGGCCATGGAAACCTTATTGGATGTCACCATAAACTACTTTAAATGTCAGGAGATTTTATGTACAAATAGAATGGGTCTAAATGCTCTTATTGTACTTTTTAAAAAAATATAAATATCTAATTCCTTAAATAAATTCACAAGTATCCCGGTAATTGTAATGATATAATTTAAATGACTATTTTTTTCATTTCCTTCAACACCCGACTTGTGCTTAGCTGTACCAGAAGTGTTGTCTTCTTCTTCTTTTTGAATCAGTTGTTGGTTTCTTTGTGAGCCGCCGCCGGGGAGGAGACGGATGAACAGTCGAGTCTCACAGATTGCTCTGAGCTTTATTGGCTCCGTTTTGTAACTTTGCTCTGGAGCAAGATAAACGGCGGCCTTTCTGAGGTCAGTTAAAAGTAGCGGGGGCTCAGAGAGGCCGTGTCCGCATGACTTCCCAGATAGGCACACATACGTGCCATTTCGCACACGCTTCCTGGGAGGTGGTCCGGGCTCCTTAGGTGAAGATGTGATTTGTTAACGTGTTTAACAAGAGAGTCGCAGTGTTACGTATTCTTTTTCTGCAAAAAGGAAAAAGTTTCAGATTACCAAACAGATTTTAGTACCAGATGGAGATCATCAAATGTAATACAGAATATGTTTGGAATGATTATATCATTTATTGATTAAAAAAACCCCTTGATATATGACGAAAACTAACTGTCAACCTCTTTAAATCATTAACTTATGATAACTTTTCAAATGTTTGGTAAAAATTAGTTTAATTTCCACAGCCACTCCCAGGCATATTAAAATCCATTAAAAAAAAATAAAATAAAATACAAGAAAAGATGAGAAACAAAGTTTTCATCAGTATGGAAAGGAAATGAGGAACCTTCTCCTTATGGGTCCCACCTGCCAAACTGGATCAAATAATGCCCCACCACAACATCCAGGAGGTCAAAAGGAACCGAGAACAATATCTAAAGCAGGACAGGCATCTCTAAAGGTTAAGGTCAGAGTTCAAATTCAAAAAGAAGGAAAGAGACTCTGCAAAAAATGCTTGTTGGGAGAGTTTCGAGGTGAAAACCAGTACTGACTAATAAGAGATAATCAAATCTCCACGTAAAGACCCAATTCACATGAGACAAAACAACATCTTACTGATGACTGGACTGATGAGACAAAAAGTTTTGAACTCTGACACCTCTACCATGAAGACTGTCCAGCCATCAGCTTGTGGCGGCCATGATCCAAGGCCATACCTGCATGTCTTTCTCTGAAGTGCACCGAAAGGGGCCCTGCAGAGTTTGAACTGGATTGAGACGCTGTGGCACGACTATAAATAGACTGTTCATGCTTTAAACCCTCCAGTGTGGCTGGATTAAAACAATTCTTCCAAGAAAAGTGGACCAATTACCTTTTATAGAGATGTAAAAGACTCGCGGCCAGCCACCACAAACGCTACATGACAACTGTTGACGCCAAGGGTGGCACAACCAGCATTAAAGTTTGCTGTTGTTTTTTTTTTTTTTTTTCACGTAGGTAAAGCCATGTTTGGATCATTTCTCTGACTAAGTGAAACCATCATTTGTAAACTGTTTTTGTTGTATTTACTCAGGTTATCCTCAGTAAATGGTAAGAAATATGCAAGTGTCTAATCCGAATGCCTTTTCTCGACACTATTCACACCAGTTCTGGTTTGGAGTTTGTCAAAGTCATTGACCCGGTGGAATATAAAATCCTCATCCGTCTTTCTGCGTCTGCAGCTGTAACTCGTTCATTGGGAACTCCGCGGTGCCGAAGAAGCCTCAGTCGAAGCCCAAGAAGCCCCACCTATCTGGCCAAAAAGGCAGCAGCAGCTCCAGGGAGCCGCAGCCCAAACGACTGGAGGAGGTCTACACGGCTCTCAAACAAGGCTTGGAGTGAGTAACTCACACTCTCGTGTTCATCCAGTCATCGTCGTTAACATTCCCACCTGGGAGCGAGTTTAGACTGATCTCATAAATGTTTAAGTTTAAGAGATTTGCTATTTCCTTTGAGTGATCCGTGAAGATTTTTATCAAACGTTTTCTTTACCTGCTGCTCAGTGAATATCTTGAAGTTCATCAGACGGAGCTGGATAAACTCACATCTCTGATGAAAGACATGAAGAGGAACTCTCGCCTGGTGAGATGCATGAGAACACGTCAATGTGGTTTAACACTGCGCATGCAAATATTAGGTTTAAGCAACATAAACATTTATATTTTATTACTTTTCCTAACTTTCTGTGTTGTTATTCTCCAGGGAGTGCTGTATGATCTCGACAAGGTAAGCCAATGGAGGTTGCGTTGAAAAACACAGAGACGTTTTTGCATCAAAATGCCATGCGCTGCCGCATTGTTGTTGTAGTGAAGCTGGCTTTCTGTGTCTTCCTGCAGCAAATCAAAAGCATTGAGAGGTACATGAGGCGCCTCGAGTTTCACATCAGCAAGGTAAGGATTGCTGAGGTCCCAGTGGGTTCTTATTATTTTAGGGCCCTTTGTACCTTAAAAATGTTTTAACAGTTCTGACCTGAATCTTTCATACAAGCTTTTTTTCCCCCTTATTGTTTTTTCCCCCTTGTACCCAGATATTCATAAAAACAGAAAATGTAAAAGGAGTAGAGGTTTCATGCCTTTTGCATATTACAGGCATTTCAATCTCTCCAAATAATGTAGCTAACATAATTCTTCAGGTTTGCTTCTTATTTGTGTAAAGGATATGTTTTATTTAAGTGCAGCTATTTCTGTATGTTATCCGCCAAGAACTTTGGTCAAAATCTGTTGTTTTTATAGGGGGTTATTATGTAAAATCGACTTTCTGTGCGTTATATCTCACATAGTGCCATTTTATAGCACAATCAACTAACCATGTTACATTCAGCAGTTATAAAATTTCTCTATATATCGAGCTTAAAATGTTTATGTACATTTTAAGCTATTAAGAAGCTATTTCTGACACTTTTTAAAGATTGGGCAGAAAATTTCGATCAGTGCACCCTACTGACCAAAGTGAACGTCCGATGGGTTCTGCTCTTGAGTTCTCGTGAAGCATGTACAAATTTGTTCCTGTTTTTGCCACCTGTCTCATTTCTCTGATCTTACAAGAGCAGCTTCCAATGACAAACGAAAAAGACAAACTCTACTTTCCATATTTTCTAAAATGTGAAAGTGTTTATTAGGTATTGTGATATGTCTGCCCTTTAATACCGTATTTTTCAGCCGCTACTTTTTCCCCACGTTTTGAACCATGCGGCTTACAGCCCGGTGCGGTTTTTCTGTGGATTTTTCGTCAACCACCAGGGGGCGCTTTAGCAGAAAGTGAATCATTGGAAGTCAAAATTGGAAATCAAAGAAGAAAGCGCTAATTTTCATTTACAACAAGCACATGCTAGCAGCAGGCACGACGGAGAAATGTTTTCAAACTCGTTCCCCCTCATCATGGAAACAACACGAAGAAGTTCATATGATGCAGCTTTTAATTTGAAGGTTATCGATCTGACAGTACAGATCGGTAGCCGCTACCTGGCGTGAACGAATCCATGGTTCAGCGTTGGAGATGGAGGACTGCGTCCTTAATAGCTGATTTATTAAGGCTTAATATGTACGTTTCCAGGTTTTTTTTTGTTTTGTTTTGTTTTGTGTTTTTTGTTTTTTGTTTTTTTGTAATTTGTAGGAGGGGATTAGAGTGAGGTGCGCTCAATAGTCAGGAAAATACGGTAGCTTAAATGTATTCTATTTTTTTTTTTTTTTTTTATTAGACCAAAAGCCATGAGAGCTCTCTTTTTATATTATTTATTTATTTTTGTTCCTGTTTGGATAATAAGTTTAGGTTCCCTGCTGTTCTAATGCTTACGACAAGAAAAAGAAAACGTTTTTCCCCTTTTATACCTTTTGTTGTAGTCTCCTCACAGGCTCCCAGTTGGGGTCCGTAATCTCCAGCATTTTTTTTTTGTAGGTCCTACAAGCTTGCAAGTCTCTTTGACTGTTCTTCCACATCCTCTGTTGTAGTCCAACATAGCTTGCTGGGCATCAAATCAGACCTGACAGCAGGTTATCAGAGCACACGCGTCAAAACAACTGCACAGATCCGACTGTAACTATGGTTACCTTCAAGACGGCCTTTGAAGTCAAATTGGGAATTCAAGGAAGCCATCTACCTGGAATGTTAACCCTCTGTAGCCATACGCAAGATTTAGGACAATGAACTGCTTTAGTCCCGTGGAACGGGACTAAAGCAGTGAAAGAGATTGTGTTTTGAACTGATTTGTAATGCAAAGCTTTTCCTTTTTTTCGAGGACAGGAAGGAGTAATGAATTTGGATTAGGTGTGACTGAGGAGGTTTTTAAATGCGGGAAAAGGAACATGAAAAAAATATGTCAGTCGCGTCATACTAGGCCACGTCTCTGAAGTCATAAAGTATTTCTGCACTGAGCTTTTCTTTGACACCGGTGACAAACAAAACGTAGCGATGTTTCCTCCGCGTTATGAAGATGTCACGGGATGGTGTTGAGCAACCAAAGACTCAGACTTTCAGCTTGAAATCCAGCTTCATTTTGATGCCCTCTCTGTTCTTGCTGACTCAGAACAGAAATAGATTTAAGCGTAGCTGCAAATATTTGGAGAAGCAAAGGATTGTCTGATTTACCTTGTCATGCAGGTTTGAAGCCTCCAGTCTCTCTCTATCAGGTTAAATTTAGCTCCGACTGTTTTTCTGTTTTGCTCGCAGGTGTAATATTAGCATCATGTTCACTGATGTTTTCTGCAGTCTCATTACTGACTCTGGATTGTTTGTAAAAGCTTCACAAACTTTTCTTCCTTTCCTTGAAATTACTTTTCTGTGGTTCCTATTTTCTGGAACAGAAATCACTATTAGAAAAATAAAAATAAAATGCACAGTTTATATTCTGTCAAGAAAGTGTATACAAAATACAGTTTTGGCAAGGATATGTAAAGCAGAGCTATACAAAGACCTGCTTAGTTGACTATCTGAAAGAAAGTGCTTCAGCTGGTCATGAATGGAAGATTTGTGATACATTTTTAAGATGAAATACTGAAAAACAAGAGGCATATGTTTTTGTAATTTTTTTTTTTTTTTAAACATAAATTTTTTTATTCCATTTCGTACTTGCACAGGGTGACGTATACCGAAGAGATAACAGCAGCAGCATCAGAGATGCCGTTAGATTTATGTTGCTTTTGGATAATCACTGGATTTACGATTCAAAATGAGACGCGAGCTCCAGAGCACCGGCACGTGCCATTTTCTCTCGTCTCCGAAAAACATATCTGTTCATCTCTGCTGCAGCTGGGAGCTCAGGTGTGAACGTGTTTAAGCCCAGACTCGGCCGCGTCTCTTTGTGCCGAACAGCTGCCACGAGGGACAACTTAACAATCGTCGATCAGCGGGGTTGTTAGTTTGCGAGTCACATCAGCCCGCGCTTTTGTTCCCCGCGTCACCTGCAGATGTCTGCGCTGTAATTGGCACGCATGGAGGAGGCAGGTGGCACAACACAACCAACCTCTATGATGTCCTGCATGGGACGAAGTCTGTAGCCACTGGTTGGGTTAGTGTGTGTGTGGGGAGCGGTATCAGCAGGGCATCATTAAAAAGATGAGTGACGCAGACTGAAGGTGAGCAGAGCAGCTGCCAGGCACCATCTCCCTTTCCGAGGGCGGGCGTGTTTTGGTACTAACCACATGCCAAATTCAACCCAGGATGAGTGTGAATACTTTGCATGTGATTATTTTTAATAAAGGGCATTTACTGCTGCCTCCTCTACCGCCATCTTGATTGTTAGTCTGTAAACGCCCACACACACACAGCTCCCCAGAGAGGGTCCGGGTGTTTGGTGGGGCCTGCAGCTTTTTAATCTGCTTATAATCACTTGCTCCTGGGCATGAAATGTAGGTGGGTGTGCGCCATTATCCAGCAATTCTCGATAATGTCCACGTCTTAAGAGGATTTTTAGCAAAATCCCGTAGATTCTGTTAAAATTACACAGTCTATTTGGATATTATTAGGCTCAAATACAATCCTGTAAAATTCCCAGTGAAACTTAATTGGTCGACAGCATAAGAACATTGCTTAACAAATATTTAGTCTGCTTCTCACAAGGACCAAAATTGATTCCCTAGTAAAGATGTTCCCAAAACTCTCAGCTGGTTCTCCAAGCTCGCTGGGGTTTTTTTCCCCCTCCAGCACTCTGAGCTGTAATTAAAACACTTCAAAAGAGAACTGATTTTAGCATATATTTAGATTTAATCTATCTTAATAACCACTTACCAGATGTGCTGGCCAAGAGCCAAAACAGAAAGGATTTTATTTTTTTTTTCATTGAATGACCCTTTAAGGTTGTACAACTACTGAGCTTTGCAGATAAGTGAATTTGTATTGCATGAACTTGTTCTACATTCTGGCATGTCATAATTGAAAACTTATTTGATAGGCCAACACAAAGTAGTATATAGCTGCTCAACTGATGGCTGTTCTTATGGCAGATTCTCCCACCTGAGCGGTGGATCTCTGCAGCTCATCCAGAGCTAC